AAGGATCAATTGAACATGAAGATATAACCATAATAAATATTTATGGACCCAATGAAAGAGCCCCCAAATACATAAAGTTTTTAAGTTTTAGATAATTTGTAATTTAATAATTTTAACATAACTTTTTATACAGCTCTGAGAACACGATTTGAAGTTAAAATTTGCTTTTGTGATAAAGTCTCCAAAAGATTTCTTCAGAGTCCTTATTTGTGTCTCATTTTGCCAGGTACATCAGTGTATAATCTAATATTTGTGCATTCACACATTTATTGGAGCTCTGGTAGCACACTGCCTTAGGCACTTGACTGCTGACCAGAAGGCTGGCGGTTCAAACCCACCAGCCACTCCTCGGAAGGAAGGTTGGGCAGTTTACTTCCATAGTGATACCGCCTCAGAAATCCAAGGAGGAGTTGCTATAAGTAAGATCCAACTCCACAGCACATAACAAAAACAACAGGAGAAAAACTAGCATGAGGATAATTTAATAGTATTTACTTACTAACTACTGTTAGTTCAGAATAAACACATATATTCAGACAATAGTACAGCTATATCTGTCTTTAGACCTTTGCTTTATTGGCAGCTATTGTATTTTCCTTTAAGAACCAAAAAACCAAAAACCAAAAACCAAACCCACTGCTGTCGAGTCGGCGGGTCCAACTCATAGCGACCCTCTCTTTGTGTTTCTGAGACAGTATAACTGCGGAAGTAGATTGCCCAACCTTCCTTCCAAGGAGTGGCTGATGCATTTAAACTGCCAGTCTTCTGTTTATTAGTCACATGCCTTAGGCACTATACCACCAGAGCTCCTAAGATTTCAGAGAATAGAATATTATAATAGAACTATAGTTCTGCTTTATGCACTACTTTGGAAATGAAATTGATCCTTTAATTTTAGAATAAATACGAGTTAGAAGCCAGTTATACTGAATGACCTATTACTTAAACATTAGTTTATTTCACTATATAATATTGGAACTATTTCCAGTATGTTCAGTAGATTTTTATTTCCTCTTAACATTGACTTCCTATCTGATTAATATTTAAGATAGTTATTGATAAGATGGTCCTCACAGCATGCTGTAATAGAGAGAACATGAAATCGGGAAATCGGAAGACCACAAAGTTAATCCTATTTGATACTACTGTCTGGATGTAACTTTGAATAGGACTAATGGCCAGTTTCCTCAGCTGTAAAATGTTGAGGCAGGTGGATTATATTAGTGACTTTCAAGCCTCTCCTGCCACCCCTTTTTTTTCTTTTAAATAGTGGAGCCCTCTTTCAAGAAAGCTTGCATAAAATCTGAATACATAAAACAAAGAAAGTGTAGTTCTTTGCTTGGCCTCCTGCTGCTCAAGACAGTTTTGAGACATGTATGAGACATAATTTGTAAACAGTTTAGGTTGCTGATCTCTGACCTCTCCACTGGTTCTCAAATTATATAAATACTGATTTACAACTCATTTATTTCTCTCTATATTTGAGGCATCTCTTGTTTCAAAATTGTGACCTCTGATCCTCTCTGAAAATGTTGTGTATGTATGTGTGTGTTGGGGGATTTTTATTTCAGTGTGATTGACACTATGAAATACCATATTAAAAAAAGGGTGTAACAATGCTGTTGGTTATAATCATTTGTTAATGTCATGTGATTTTATGTCAGGAAATTTATAAACTCCTTGTATGAAAAAAAGGTATTAGTTACTCATAGTTGTTATTTTTCACATAGTTAATTCATGACATATTTTACTTTATATATTAAGTATAATAGAAGTGTGTAATACAGTAGTCTATTTAAAGGATTTTTCTGGCCTTTGTTCCATTTACTTTTGTAGCATAGGAGAGGTTATTTTAAAATTATGTTAACCAAGTTCATTTTCTGTATCTCCTTCTCTTCATTTCTTTCCTTGTTACTATTATCAGAATATTCTTTTTGAGAAAGGTCTTTTGTTGAATTAGGTAGAAGTAGAAAGGGATTTTGATCTAGCTCATTTATACTGAAAACATTCTTACTTGTTTAAAACAGAAATTAAAGAAGCACATAAAAGAAAAAAAATAATGAAAGAACGATTTAAGCAGGAAGAAAATATTGCAAGTGCCATGGTAATCTGGATCAATGAAATACTGCCCAATTGGGATGTAATGTAAGTAAGCAGATTTTTCCTGAACTCCAATTTGCTCCAAAGATCTCATGCTTCCAGTTTTATATTTTATTATGTTCCAGCATGTTTTTTATGTTTTGGCCAATTATACTACTAACCAATATCTGAGTATTTCTGTGCTTATCCCTGTGGCGTTAGTTTCATGGATCTCTCAATCTCTAATCTCCCTTACTGATGACTCTTTATACCTGTCAAAAATCTTACTTATCCTTTGAGTCCATCTGAAATGCTAGTTGATCCGTGAAACTTTTAAAATCTTATCAGTTACCATATTTTCTTAATTCTAACATTCCCTCAGTTCTAAGATGTACTACTTATATAATAAATTTTCTTGAAAGAAAATATTAAATATGTACATTGAGTATAAGTTTATTAAATGTTATTAAA